GAAAAAAGCAGAAGCTTATAAGGAATACAAAGAAGCAGCCATGATTGAGATGCTTCTTGAGACGTTACCAAAGGTAGAATTGAAATATTTAATTAAATATATTTTGTATTAAGTTTATTTTTCTCCATAGGTCGCAGCTGAAGTCGCCGCCCCACTGACACAAACCAAGAAGATTACAATGGTGTCATCAGGTGATGGTGAGATTGGAGCTGCAAAATTGACAGGGGAAGTTCTTTCCATCGTTGGTCGAATTCCCGAACTTGTCAAACAAATGACAAACATTGACATCGCCACGGTAAGATTTTTAATTTAATTATCAATGACTTAGTCACTAAATGGTATAAAAATATTTATTCTTGCCATGAAGGCGGTTAAATCACACTAAACGGAAGGACGATTATAACGACTACATTTCTCTGCTTTGTTGGCATTTAGATCCATTTGTGATTGATGTTTAATAATTTATGTTCATTGTATTCTAATTTTCGATATCCAGTTATCTTGTAAACTTCAAAAACAAAGAAACTTCATAAACAAATAAAAGTGTCTAAGATTTGATTCACATTCGTCTTCAATTTCAATGTGTTTGGTCGAAAAATGTTTTGTTTCTCGTCGAAATGTGTGTTTTTAGTTTGAAACATAAATGCTTATGAAATATGTGAAAGTGTTAGTTAGCGTATTATATTTCTCTCTCACGTGCCTCTTGTAAGAGTGTGTGTAGATCATTAGAATATTTCTCATCAATGATCGTTCTAAAGCATGAAGCCAAACATTTTGACAGAAATTTACAAGCAATAAATCTAGAGACCTTGATTGATCCCAAATGTGAAAGAAGTCGAATGCGTAGATTTTCCTTCTCTCTATATTCTCTATCAAAGCATTCAATACATATTCCAAATACAAACCTAAACTCTCAAAATATATGATCACAATCATTGTTTTTACATAAAACTTGTATTAATTTTTGATGATTTTAAAGTGTGTGAATGCGTGTGTGAATATCATCTTCAATATTAGCGACTATCAGCATCATTCACAATTAAAACAGTCATAGAAGTTTAAAAAGCTTTCAAGCGCGCATTCGAATATTGAATTTCATTGGAATTTTTCATTAGATTTCTTTTGTAAGTGTTAGTGGCGAAGAGCGTAAATTGAAGTTAATTTATTAAGCGATAGGAGTTGTTCTGGTAAAAATTTAAGATCTGAAAAGTTCAAAATGGTGTTTGGATTCAGAACTTGTGGTCCAAATGAAGCTCTCGTTGTTTCGGGTAAGTCGGCAATGATCATTAAGATGAAAGTTTGCTGTTAAGTCGAATAAATTGACAATAAATTTTCTTTATCAATTTCAACAAACGTCACAATTTAACATTATATTAAAGGATGCTGCTATGGCAAGCCCTTGTTAGTTACCGGAGGTCGAGCTTTTGTTTGGCCTGTTGTTCAACAAGTTCAGAGGTAAATGATTAAATTTCTTTAAATCGGCGTCACTGATCATGTCATGTAATTTTGTATGGATCTTTTATCTTTCAGAATCTCATTGAACACAATGACACTTCAGGTAGAATCGAAAACCGTGTACACAAGTCAAGGTGTTCCATTATCAGTAACAGGTAAAGTCAATTATTTAATTAAAATTATTAAAAGTTTTAAATTTTTATGTTTGCTGTAGGTGTCGCTCAAATAAAAATTCCTGGACAAAACAAGGAAATGTTGGAGGTTTAAACTGCCAAATAATAAAGAAAATCGCAAAATTAATCTCATTTTAATTTTTTTAGACCGCTTGTGAGCAATTTTTGGGAAAACCTGACAAGGAAATTGAAAATATTGCATTGGTGACTTTGGAGGGACATCAACGAGCAATTATGGGATCGATGACCGTTGAAGAAATTTATAAAGATCGCAAGAAGTTCTCCCAGCAGGTCTTCTCAGTTGCTTCATCCGACTTGGTCAACATGGGAATCTCTGTTGTGTCGTACACAATAAAAGATATTCGTGATGAAGAAGTGAGTTTTGAAATAACTAAAAGAATTTCATAATGATGCAATTTAATTTTGAAGGGATATCTCAAAGCCTTGGGTATGGCACGAACAGCTGAAGTAAAACGAGATGCACGCATTGGTGAAGCTGAAGCACGAGCTGATGCCGAAATCAAGAAAGCCAAAGCTGAAGAACAGCGAATGGCTGCAAGACTTGCAAACGACATTGAAATTGCAAAGTCAAAACGAGACTTCGAACTTAAGAAAGCTGCTTATGATGTCGAAGTTCAAACGAAGAATGCAGAAGCCGAAATGGCCTACGAATTGCAAGCTGCAAAGACAAAGCAACGCATCAAGGAAGAACAAATGCAAATCAAAGTCGTTGAACGTACACAAGAAATTCAAGTTCAAGAACAAGAACAAGTTCGTCGCGAAAGAGTTTTAGAAGCGAACGTACGTCGACCAGCAGAAGCAGAAAAATATCGTCTCGAAAAATTAGCAGAAGCCAATAAGATGAAAGTTATTTTGGAAGCTGAAGCAGAAAGTGAATCAGTAAGTTTTTGATGATAAATCGAAACAAATTGTTATCATTGAAAATTTATTTTCATTCAGATCAAGATTCGTGGTGAAGCCGAATCATTTGCCATTGAAGCTAAAGCTAAGGCTGAAGCTGAACAAATGCAAAAAAAAGCAGAAGCTTATAAGGAATACGAAGAAGCAGCCATGATTGAGATGCTTCTTGAGACGTTACCAAAGGTAGAATTGAAATATATAATTATTATATTTATTTGTCATTATTAAGTTTATGTTTCTCCATAGATCGCAGCTGAAGTCGCCGCTCCACTGACACAAACCAAGAAGATCACAATGGTGTCATCAGGCACTGGTGAGATTGGCGCTGCCAAATTGGCGGGTGAAGTTCTTTCAATCGTTGGATGCGTTCCTGAACTTGTCAAACAATTGACAAACATTGACATTTCTAAGGTAAATTCATTGATTTAATTGTTCAATAAAGTTTCAATTCGTTTCTTTGTCCTTTTCCTTAGTCTATCAAAGTCCGATAGAAAATGTGACCATCAGTTAAATGTGCAATGATGTGCCGAAACATTAAAGACCGAGAATGCCTTTATATCAGCCTTTAGATTACAATTTGTCAGATACTTGCAATAATCAGGTGAATGGAAATATTAAAATTTATTACTTATTAGGATATTTGTTTTGGAAAAGAGAATCTATCAGTCTTCCTTAACTTACAAAACAACATAAATTAAAAGATGTAAATTTATTTTTTGAGAAAATAAAGATGAATAAAAGTAATCTCAGGATATTTGTTTTGTTATTTTATCACAAAGCTGCTGTGAATGTTTAATGGAAATTCTTGGAGTTCTTAATTAAATAAAAAATAAAATATCAACATTTTTGTTATTAAAATTTTATTTCTTTATATGTTCTGTCTTCTGTCCGTGTTACATAAATTTTTATGAAACATAAAGTTTAAGTTCTTCATATAACGATTCTCTAAACCCGAAGTGCTTATAAACTTAAAATTATTTTGAAAGTTAATGTAAAGTTTGAGACAATTTTCTTTCTTTTCTCTTTCTTCAGCAAAAAATATCTTAAAATTATTGTTTTTACTTTTCTTATATGACGAAGTTTTATTTTCCTTTTGGTGGTGCTCTGAAGATTCCTGGAAAAATATTAAATGATTAAATTAAAATGTATAGTTGCGAATAATGCGAAACTTACCACAAACAACAGCGTGATCTCTTTCGTATGGTTCAAGCGTCAGCTGTTCCTGAGGTTTCAATTTATCGGCTACCAATTTCTTTACTTCCGCTGCAAAAACAGCTTCGGGTTTCGCTGTGGAGTCAATACATGATGCTTTGATAGATATGACAAAATGTCCGCTATTTTTGAGGAAATGCTGAGCGTTTAATGAAACTATTCTAGCTTGATCAGGTTGAGCTACATCAGCGAAGATTGTGTCTACCATTCCCACAAGCATTCTGTATTTATGTGGATGTCGCGCGTCTTCAATAATCGGTATGATGTTAGTTCTCTTCTTTGCAACATTGATCAAATCTCGTCCTGAACGATGTGAAAATTCAACTGCATATACAAGACCTTCTGGTCCAACGATGTCACTGACATGAGAAACTGTTGTACCCGAAGCAGCACCAAGGTAAAGGACTTTTGATCCTGGACCCATATGTATACTGTCAACACCACCAAGAATAGCAGCCGCTAATTTTGATCTGAATGGATTCCACACGCGATATTCTTTCTTCTCTCCATCAGTCTGTAAATTAAAATAAATTCATAAAAAAACTTAATACAAAACGAGGACGAATATAAAATAAATTTAATTCAGCATAAATAAGTATCACGAGACAATCACCGTTGCTGTAACTTTCAAAACAACTCTAAAGAGATGATTCGATATCACTGCTCAAGTGCTTTTGTCTCTCAGGGTCAGTTTCCTGCATCCGTCCCCTACGCTTTTCATCACATAATTTAAATTATAAAAGTTAATTAAAGTTACTTTACCTCAACAGAAATTCTCTTTTCGCCATAAACTTCTGATCCTGGTACAAAGTTAAGTGTGACAAGTGCGTCTTCCTTTCCACGAGCAACGAAAACTCCGTCATGACGATGAGGCTCAATAACGACTGTTTTTCCGCCTTTGAAGCCTCCACCTCCACCACGACCTCCTCTGGGTGCACCACGTCCTCTTGGCGTTCCTCTGCCGCCACCGCGGCCTCCCCCGCCTCCACGTCCACCCTAAAAGGTAAACATTATAAATAAAATAATTAACGTTTTTTTAAGTAAAATAAAATACCCTAAATCCGCCAGCTCCTCCACCTCCACCACGAGGTGTTCCAAAACCACCTCTTCCACCACCACCACCTCGTCCGCCACGTCCACCTCTATCTCCTCTTGGGGTAAAACCTAATATTTTTAAAACAAAGTTTTTAGTTGTAGGTTAAAAATAAACTAAAACTTCATTAAACATTATCATAACTAAACAAAAACTTGAAGTTTAATTATTTGGATTCGTTATATATTTTAATTTAAAAAGATATATTGAAAATAAATATGAAAATAACTGAAGCCGCATGGGTTTTCATTAGTATAAACATAAATATAAGAAAATCTATGCTTTGATAATATTTCAAGTTGAATTCCATCTTACCTGGTCTTCCCATTATATGTTCTATATATTCGGTATCAACTGAGTTATGTCCTTATCGATAAGACTAAAAAATTAATGAATTTCCTTTTTTCTTGTTTAAAATTGTTTGATTCACACGTGAAACTGTCTAATTCGTCAATAAGTAGATCTTTCTTTTGAGCAGAGTGCAACAAGTAGAATTTTAAGTTAGAGAGGGTCCGGTAAACAGTTAATTCCGCATAGAAAAAGGAAATTTTCGCAAAGTTTATTGTCAATAAAAATTTAAATTGAAATGATAAGATTTGGTGATGTGAATCCTGATGAAGAAATCATCTACAACAATAGTAACTGCAAGCTCAAAATAAATAGCGGAGAATTTGCGCGAGGTGCACTTTTATTAACATCAAAGTTTGTTTATTGTTTAATTTTACGAACTCATCAAGATGTTAACTTTTTTCATTAATTCACAGAGAAATTTGTTGGAAACGACAAGATTCTGAAAATGGTTTCATGATACCATGGGAAAAAATCACTGTGCAAGCAATTACTCAACAGCCTCAACGTTGTATTTATTTCATGATAGATGTAAGTTGGCCAGAAGGAGAACCTGTTCATAATGCTAACGGGCCAAACGGCAATCATGCGGATAATGATAATGATGATGAGGCACAAAATGGATCTGAAGATGAAGGAAATGCTTCGGAGGGATCAATACAAGAACTGACAGAATTTTACGTTGTTCCAGATGATGCTAACGAAGTCGATAACATTTACTATGTCATGTCTAAATTCCCTGTTGCTGAAGCAATGGATGACAGTGACGATGATGACTTTTTTGATGGAGAAAACATTGAACAAATGAATCTGAATGAAGACGAAGATAGATTCGCAGATGCTGAATAAAATCATTTCCCATGTAAACTTTTAAAATTCGTTATGATCAAGGTTAAGATGATTAATAAATATTTCAAATAATAAGCTTCGTTCACTTAAGCAGACTGCAACCTTGGTTAGTATTTTTTTTGGCGGTAAACTTCATAGGAGGTGAAAAAAGATTATAATTTAAAAAACCTATTGAATGAAATCAAATCGAAAATGGATAATATTCAGGAAGAAATTCTTGTTGACATGATGAAAAAACTTGGAATGAAGAAAGATGATCAATTAATAAGGTAGGATAATAATTTTTGTTTTAAATAAATTTCTTTAATTGTTTATCTTTATTTCAGAAAATCCAAAGAGATTCGTGATATTATTGCAATTAAATCAAGTGGGATGGAAGCAACAGTCAATGATAGCGCAAAAACAATTATTTGTCTTGATATAAGTTGTGAGTTATTAAATATCGCGTTTGATACAGCCTTGGGAATAAGATTATCATCAATAAGAAAATCAGCGTATAATAAATATCGCCAGCTGATGATGAAACTCATGAAGTTTAACAAAACTCCGAATATAAGTGATGTTGTATTGAAAATGCGGATTCAAGATGAAAATGTCCAAAAGACAGCAAGGAAGATTTTCGAAACTTTTCAAAAGAATTCGCCTCACATTGATTTAGATCATCCACAATATGTTCAGATGAGTGTCTACCAAGCTTGTAAAATCCACAAATATAAAGCATCGAAAAAGGATTTCAGAAACGGAAGTAATTTAAATGTCACTCAGTGGTCTCAATTAGAGACTGCTTGGGATAAATGGGTTCATTGCATTGAGAGTAAAGAGAAGGTTATTAAACAAACAGCTGAAAACATCGCTTTGAAATCAACAGAAGATCATCAACCGACGTTAAAACGAAATCATGAAATTGAAGAAGAAGCTGAAAATTACGATGTTTGGGCTAAAAGAATATTAGACAAAGCTTATGAGGAAATGAAAAAAGAGAAACCAAAGCCTTCAAATTAATCTTAACTAATTAATAAATTTAATAAAACATTTTTTAATAAAAAGTTTCTCTATTTTAATGACAATTTGAATAAAAGGGTTGCAGACGCTATTTCAATCTTTTGATATTGCGCAATGCTGCAATTTTTTCTCAGAATGCATTTTTGCACAATCGTTGCATTTGTCCTGAGATTTTTTCATAAAAATTCAATTTGAACGCATTTCAGACTTTTAAGAATTTTTTTAAAATCTGATAAATATGCAAGCCGCAAGAGTTTGGAATTCAGTCGTTCGTAAAAGTAAGAATGGATAAACATTGAATTTAATTAGTGTTAGCATTGATTAAGCTCGAAAATACTTTTTAAATGTTATGCAATTCTGTTCTACAATTTATTAGCCATTACAACAACAACTCGTAGAAATTATCAAAAGGGAACTTTTGATCATATAAAAGTGTCATTGAACCAAATGCCTGTTCCAGAAGGAGACTTCATGATGCTTCATCATGCGAGAAACAGAAAATACAATACAGTTCTTGCAGCAGGAATCCTTTCGGTTGGCTTTGGACTCTTCTTGGTAAATCATTAAATTTTTTTTTTTATTTTTTCATCTCGAATTTACTTTTTTTATTTTAGTTACGAACAACTGGCATCGTACATTTCAACTTCTCTCCACCTGAAACCTACGAATAAATCAGATGAAATCAGTCAGAAATTTCAATTCTAGCGAACTCTTGAAACAACAATTGGTGATACTAAATTTAAGTTTTTCCTTTAAACTTTCAATTGGCTCTCTCAAATTCTTAGTGTTAATTTAACTTTTGAAAAAACTTCATGCAATAAAAATGAAGAGATGCACAACAAGCAAATTAATTTTGCTTAAATCAATTTTTTTTTCTTAGCGATTAATAGAAGTTGGTTTTATCTTAATACAAATGTAAGTTTGTTTAATTCACACAAATGCAGCACTGTAATCACAAAATCGACTAGATTTTGGAATTCTTTTCATTTTCCCTTGGTGGAAACAAAATCACGTGCCAAATCAAAAGCTGAACATGAGAGTTAGAAGTTTCTTGGTAGCAATCTCTTCTTTAAATATTTTTTTGTACTGGTAAATATCAAACATCAGGTCCTGGTACAGGTGCCTCGGGTTCTGGTTTGTCAGTTATAGAAATCGATGATTTTTGAGAGGCATCGTTTCAGCTTCATTTGTAAATGAGAGAACGAGTGTATGCAAGTATCCGATGACGCATTTTTTTCGGATGCTTTAAAATTCAACGACTTGATTCTTCAAACATCAACCGAGTCTAGAATGTCGTCACCATTGTCTCTGCCCGATCTAAATCTGAATAAAAATTCTTCAAAGAATGAAAAAAAAGAAATTTTGTGCTTGTTTAAAAGTTGGGCTGAATTGAAAGTTGGGTTGGAAGGTCAGCTAGTACACGGGTT